TTTTAGGAAATTCTCTAACGTTTAAAATAAGTTACATAAGATAGTTTAGAGAGATATGGAGTTCAGTTGTATCTGTGTGGTCCAAATCCATGAAAACTGATGGCACTGCTATTCCGAGAAGTACTTGGGGCATTGATCCTCTCCAACGGAATAATGTAAGGTTTTTCCTTCAGCTGTGTTTCCATGATTTTAAGAGGCATGCTGTATTTCAGAGTTCACACTGAATTACAGAAATAGTGTTTTACAAGTAGCTTCAACTGTCTGTATGCTGTTACCCTTTAATAGGCATCTTGGATATTACTTTTGAACATTTATGTAAAGGATGACAATTAGCCATCACTTGCTGAACTAGTGGTATCAGCATTCTGTGTATCAGGGAAATGTATCTTTAAATTCAGAAAATTCTTATTACAATTGCCAGTACCTCCACAGTTAAATGTCCCTTCATGTATACAGAAATCATACGTTTTATTTCTTATTGTATACCAGCTGATTAACCTAGTTACTCAATAAATGCTGTCATGCAACGTATACGGTTTCCTGCACTTGGACACGGAATTGAAATTAATGACTTCTAGGCTCCAACTATTTGAACTAACAGCTAAAATCTTGGGTGCATTTCTTTTTAAAAAAAAAAAAAAAATGTTGTGCATAATGATGCAGATTAAAATAGATAGCTTTATTGGGTAGGTGGGTGGGTGAGAGTCTGGTAATATGGGTTTCTGTGGCTTTTTCATCACTTGCCATCATTGCAGCTAATGTAGGACTGCAGAAAATCTCCCATAACAGATCTGTACCATGTGTATATGTATATTAAGAATCTTATCCCTCACTATGCAATTAGTGTATCATTGTTTCTTTCTCCCTCGTTAACAAATCTAGGTCTTTGTTAATAACCACTAGTCAGTTTGTCCCACTCATTGCAGCTGTCGCATTGGGTCTATAGTTCCACATGCTCACCAGTCTTCCAAGTATAGCAACAGTAATAATCAAACCGTCCTATCCATAACCTAAAAAGAGCTATCCAGTTTATTCAACCTTCCAACTCTTGGTCCATAGACATTTAGGGCATCTCAAGTGCATTCCGTCTTATTTTTTAAAGAAGGTAAGAGTTTCTGCCTCTACTACCCTTTCAGGTTGAAAACCCTATCACTTTTTGGATGAAAATATTTTTTCCTAATTTCCCCTCAAATCCTTCCATCAGTTACTTTAAATCTGTAGCCCCTGGATATTGATCTCTCTCCTAATAGAAATAGGCCTTCCTCTGCTCTATCCAGGCCCTTTATACATGCCAACTAAATCTTTCTTTAACCTAGTGACCCAGTATGGAGCTACAAGATTGAGGTATTGGATAAAGTGCAACAGAAAAGATTCTTGCACAGCGTAAGAACATATGGCACTGCTAGTGAATTATTATATGAAAGTGGAGTAACTAACAGGAAAAATATAGCTAGTTGCTTGTACCTGAGATCATTGGGAATTCAACTGTTTGGTTTTATAAATAACTTGGATGAAGGGACAAATTATATTTTAGCCAAATTTGCTAACAATACAAAGTTAGTAGCAGAGCAAGTTGTGAGGATATGAATGGTCTGCCAAAAGATATTGATTACAAAAAATAAAATGGCAGATGGAGTCTAATGGAAAAAATGAGATGTTTTCTGTTTTTCCCCTTGGGCAGGAGATAAAGAATTTAATTTCAAAGAGAATTGCAGAATGTTGCATTTCAAAGGGATTTGGGTATTATGGAATATGAATCACCATGTCAGCTTGCAGGGACAGCAAAAAAAAATGTCAGCATTCATTTGCCTATATTGCAAGAGGACTGGAGTACAAAAATAGGGAAGTCTTGTACGTGTAACCACACTTGGAGTACTGTGTACAGTATTGGCCTCCTTACTTGAGTGAAATGTTATTAGAAACAGTTCAAAAAAAATCACTTCTCAGCTGATTCTTGGAATGAAAAGATTTGCCTTCTGTGGAAAAGTTGAACAGAATAGATCTGTAGTCACTGGAGTTCAGAAGAGGGGGCTTGACAGGTTCAGTGCTCGGAGGATGTTTCCTCTCAGCAGAACCTAGAACTAAAGGAGGATAGTTTAAAAATAGGGATGGATGAAGATGAATTTATTCTGGTGGTAGGCTTTGAAATTCTCTTCAACACAAAGCAGTGGAGACTTGGTCATTGATCATGTTCAAGTCTGAGTTACAGATTTTTGATGAACAAAGGAGTTGAGGGTTATGGAGGATAGGCAGGAAAGTGTAGTTGAGGCTGCAGTCAGGTCAGCCAAGATTCTGTCAAATGATTGAACAAGTTTAATGGGCTGCGTGATCTGCTATTTCTAATGATCCTATGTACTCTAACAGAAATAAACTCCAGGTCACAAAATACATCGGTCAATCACAATTACATCATCAAGTCTCCCAGCTACATCCTCAGGCAATTCAAACAAATTATTTGGGCATGACCTTCTCTTAAAATACATGCTGACTGTTATTGATTAATTCATGCCTCCCTCAAAGAGACCACAAATTTTCCTGGCCAGGTGTTCTATTTATTGATTATCGATGTAATATGTGACAGCACTTGTTGTGGTTTGACAGCAAAAAGAATACCTAAACAAAGCATGAAAGGAATCTGTTTTTCTACAGCGTATGTTCGTTTGATTCATGCTGGAACCAATGCCAAGAACTAGTGCGTGGAACAGCTTGAAAATGTCTCGACTTGAATCTAGCTAGAATACCTGCTGAGAAGACATTTGAAATCTTTAACATCCAAGGCACCATTCAAAGGATCTTTGATTTAAAAAAAAATAAAAAATTCCCCAAAAGAGTGAAAGATATTATTGGCAACCATAACCACAGTTGTGGTTAGTGTCAAAATCGAGGGGACAAGCAGAAGTACTGAACGCATCTGATTTGTGATGGGTGTCAAAGCTACTGAGCATGTAACTGCATTAGCTAATTATCAAGTTCACTTGGCAAGAATACTGATATTGGGATGCTGCAGTTGATTAACATGCATGCACTGTTTAATGCAAGGTAACTCTGCTGTGAAATAGCATTGATGGCCTCATGATGATTGAGGTTCCACAAAGGGGATGTGTGGCAACCCCTTTTAGAGTTGTGAAGCAAACTATAGAAGTTTTAAATTTTTTAAAAATTGATCCTTGGAAACAGTTGACCTGATTTGAGGAGAAAACCAAAAGCATGTACGATATCTTGGATTAAAGGAGATTCAAATGGAAAAATTTGCTCCCATGATTGCTAAGTTTTCAAGATAAATCAGAAATGGTTTACTGCATATAATTAGCTTTCTAGGAATTGGATCCTACGTTTACGCCAATTGTTTTGCATTGTAGGGATATGCAGAATCATAGAATCCCTACAGTGCAGAAGCAGGCCACTTGACCCATCAAGTCCGCACCAACTCTGTGCAGAGCATCCCATCCTGACCCACCCTTACCCTGTCCCCATAACCCTGCATTTCCCAAAGTCAGTCCATCTAACCTACGTACCCCTGTACAGTATGGGCAATTTAGCATGGTCAGTCCACCTAACCTACACATTTGGACTGTGGGATAGTTAATATTATCATTAATAGTGTAAAAGTTGGTGACCTCCATTTTTGGTTTTTAGACCAATGATGACAAATCCAGTAGTTAGTTTGTGACTAGAGATTAGTGTAGAAGTTGCCTGTTAAGTATCATTCTCCCTCCAAGTCTTATCAGCTACGTACAGTAAAGATTAGTGCTGACAAGTTGTGATCTTCCATTGGTTCTAAGAAGCTCTAATACTGTACTTTTGAATGAATATTGTTTTCCCTGTGCAGATCCTATTATAATGCTATTTGTATCCTCAACATTTTGTAAAAGCTTGAATCAAAGATGTGAATGACTTTTAGTTGACATCAGATGAATAGCTGAAATAATTCTACAGCTTTATTTTCCAGAAAGCTTTAATTTTCAGCAAAAAAAAACTGCGGATGTTGGAAATCAGAAACAAAATTGGAAATTGCTGGAAGAATTCAGGTCTAGTCATCTGTGGAGAGAAAGCAGAGTCAACATTTCTAGTCCAGTGATCCTATCTTCAGAACTGGGTTGAGAGTTCTGAAGAAGGGTCACTGGACCACAACATTAACTCAGCTTTTTCTCCATGAATGCTGGCAGACATGCTGAGTTTTCAAGCAATATCTGATTTTTGTTCTTTTTGGCTAGTCTAACATACTTCATTGGAGCTGTGGGTGATGGGTTATGCTGTGAATCTTTTCATGGATACTGTTGAGCCAGTGATCATTTCTTGACTCTTAGTGACCAATAACAGATCTTAACACCTTCTGAGTATTTTACAAGAGGTAGTGTCAGTAGAAAAACAAAATTCAGCAAATAATTTTAAATAGTCTCTCGAGCCTGGTAGCAGAAATTGAATCCTGCAACAATCAATTTGCACTGATAACTTAAAACTGAAATATTTCATTATATTAACTTATTCTTGATAACTCCTAATGAGCATTCTGTGTATTCTAAACTATATAGAAATTATAACATTGCAATGGATTTTTGTCGCAGTCAGTCTACATTGGTATTGTTCTCCATACAGAATAGTCCAAATCCCCTATGTTTGCCTTTCTTTCATCTAGGTAAGTTTAAAACTTGAAGTCATCTCTGCCACTCAGTCTAACGGTACAGCCTTCTGTGAGAGAGAAACTTTTTTTCAAGTTTTCATACTTTCTTAATATGAGAATATTTTACTCAGTTTATGCTGTGGCCTCCTACATCCCCTCAATGGAGTGCAAATTTACCCATAATGCTCTAGCTCTGATTTTTTTTAAATCATTTTCCTCATTGTTTTGGTTTTTATATTCTATACTTGCCATGGAATACATTATCTAAATGCTATATTTAGTGACCATGTGAAGTTCCTTTATTCATATAATATTTCATTGTATTTTGTAAATTAATGTTATAGTGCACTCAATTAAAATGGCTGCTTTTTCTTCAAAGTATCAGCAGCACCTTAATGGATATGGACAGTACTATCTCCAGTGGACGCTCTACTCCTGCGCTGATAAATGGTCATGGAAGTACTACTTCATCAGGAAAGAATATCACATACAACTGCTGCTGGGACCAATGCCATACCAGTTTCAGCTCCAGTCCAGATTTGGCAGATCACATCCGTTCAATACATGTGGATGGGCAACGTGGAGGGGTCTGTTTTTTTTTCTCTCTTCCTTTGCATTTAGATGGCACTGCCAATATAAAATATCATTAACGAGCTCTAGTGGTTACTTCAGTATTTATCAACAAAAATTGTGCTTTTTGAATAAAATTACTTTTAGCTGTTTAAATAGCAGCAGATTAGATTGTTGATTGCGCATATTTGTTTTTGATTTAATCATGGTGACACAAGTATATTTGTGCTGCATGAAATCTTGCCATTCTTCCCTGGTTTGGGTAAATATTAAATAATCCAGTGAGGCTGAGGCTACTTTCTCCACCTTCCTTCTTCCCCCTTCCTCCGATAGCATTTATCCTTCTGAGGTAATGAAGCCATATGTGTTGGCTTGATGAATCGCATGCTCTGACTACTTTGACTTTTCTCCTTTGAAAAAGCTGCCAGGTAGTGCGGTGTATATTAGCAGGTGGAATATTGGAGGATTGAACTTCACGTAGGTGGAAAAATATCAATATTGTATTTGTAATGTATTTACTTTTGTCCTCCATACTACCTGTTCTAAATTTCTTTACATTTTGCATTCTAACTTTTTTTTCTTGCATCATTAGCCATGATGGCCTACTCCTTGCTACTGCATGCAGTGCGACTTGAAAGCTTGATGACTGTGATTCTACTTCCCAATTTTTGTTGCTACATGCACAGATTTATTTTTTCCTAAAACAAATAGTAAGGATCTGAATTGCTTTTAATTATGCTGAATTATTGAGGATGAAGTCAGGTGTAGGCTTTTGAGACCTCTTGCACAACACACAAGAAAACTTGCTGCTTTTGATTAAACAGGAGATGAACTTAATTCTGGTTTTTAAATTTGACAGAGTACGGTTTTGTTGAAAATAGTTGAATTAGTAAATTGGATATGTTTTCATGTTTCTTTTCCCTTTACAATAGTGCAGCAGTTCTGTTTTATACGGTCTATTTTACGTGTTAGCATAGAACAACATCAAGCATGTAGCTTGCAAGAGTTACGAAATTAGATTTTTGTGCAAATAACATTTTCTTTTTGGCATAGTTAATCTAATTTCAATTATCATCTGTTTTATTGCTTAACTTGCAGGTATATTTTTAAATGCGTCCATCTTCTTTTCTCGCCAATACCTGTGTCTTGAAATAACTTTTTTGTATCTTTGGTGGTTTCTGTCTAGCTTCTAGCCCAGTTTCTGTGTCACCATCTTTGTACTGCCCACAGCCCAGTGTTCCATCAAGGTTCAATTACTCAAATCACAAGAAGTATAATGCTACCTGCAATTCACCTTCATTTTACAATAGCTTGCTGTGACTTGACATTTCAAAAAATCTAACGGATCTGTAATGGTCTTAGTAAACAATTGTCTGGAACTTAGAATAGCCTAAATGAAGTTGTAATTCACACGTTGTCTAATGCAATAAATTTATGTAAGGTATTTGATTTGAAATACAGGTATTGGATATTTCACTGCTCCTGAAAATGTAGTCAAGCACAAGATATGTAATTGCAAGACTTGCACACCAGTTCACAGAGCTTGCTGAAGCTGCAAGGAGCTTTGTATGTCTGAGTTCAAACACCCGTCATCTTACAGCGCTGCCGTCCTTTTCGTTGTATTTCATGACTATGGATTATTTTCATTCTTGCTTTTTCAATGCTAATTTTTAGGGGTTTTTTAATCATTATTGTTGTGACTCTACACACTCAAATGCAAAGGGGATTAAACTTAAATCTCTAGAGGCAGATGCCTAAATGTGGTTTATTTGCCATGTTGGATCTGGTTGACAGTGTCTGCAATGTCGAGTTCATGTCAGTTCCTTCAATATTCTCTTGATTTATATTCCATCAATTGAATATACAATTGGCAATGATTTTCAGCCACTTGCTGGTTTTTTTCCCGAAGATATATGTTCCGAAAAGGTGCCTCCCTAGACTCGCTTGAGCTTGAAAGTTGGCAAGAAACTCAAACTATAGTTCATTGAATTTAAACTCTGTTGTATCGTTTATTTATCATGTTAGTTTTAACTTTCATGTAAAATTATTTCCAGCTTTCCATATGGACCTTTGGCTTGAACATTCCACTCGAGTACTTTGTTTAGTGAAATTTGCCCAAACCAGCACAGGAGGTTGAAGGAATTTAAAGACAAATTACATTCAACGTTGGTTTAAAATATTTCATGTTAGGAGTGAATCCTGCCCACAAGTGGCCAGGATGAATTAATTGCCATTGCTATTTTCCTCTTGTGGTCCTTTTGAAGAGGCTGTAAAAATAAAGGCAATTTTTTTTTTTTTTGGAGGGTTTTTAAATCTTAAGTTATATGACTAATTACTGCAATAACCTAATTAATGATTATTATTCAAGATGGTTTAATAAGCGGTGGTGGATTGACACCAACTTAAATTTTTTTTGTGATTAAATCTAATATCAGCAACATTAATTCAATTGTATCAAGTTACCTTTCTCAAATATTGCAAGGATATTTTAAAACTTATTTATTATTTTATTTTTAGGCAAAAATGTTTTAAAATACCAAATCGCACTGGCTCAAGGCAGATTATACATTTGGTGATATCCAGATGAGCTTAACATCTGTTTTGCCAGTGATATCCAAAGCAGGCCACACTACAACTGATTATCCCACAGTTTTCTTTCCATTTGTATTCCAGTGAGGTCTGAAGTGAGAAAGTTTCAGGCTAAGATTCCATTAGAATACCAAGTTGTGGAGTGCTTTTCTGAAAAATAATGGGGTTAGTGTAAATATGTGAAAATAAACTTGAAATTTAAAACTTTCTGTTGAAAAATGAATATTCAATTTGTCAAAATTGTTGCCCTTTTCCAGAATGAGGTTCATAAATTCTATTGAAATAAACATTGGTGCACGATTTGAATTTGTTTTACCACAATAATCTTTCGTTTTCAGAGTGCAGTATGTTGAATAATTGCATGTCGATTTAATGTGCTGATTTTGTTCCTAGATTTGACTTTTTTTTAATCACATCCTCTTTGTCTTGTGTTCAATATGTGAAATGAAGTACAATCCTTCCTTCCTTCCTTCTGTAATCCCACAAAGTTATGAGAAGTAAGAGAAGAGATAGAGGATTTGATTTACCTCCATTTCCCTGCTCTTTCTTGTCAGGTTTGCAGACTTGCTACTACTGCTTTCCAGGTTATAATCATTTAAGATGTAAATAATATTGTGATAATTTGTGACTTGACGTGTTTTTGTTTTAAAAATAAATTTCTGCTTGTGGTGGATTCCCATTAAGAATCCAAGTAAAGGTGCATACAGCAGAAATACAGTGTTGAACGTAAACATCACATGAGCCAATGCACCTTCAGTCAGTGGTATGATTTATATGGAAACCTAGGTCAGATTGATTTAATTTAGTAATTTCAATTTATTTTGAAAGTACTAATTTTAGAGTTATCAAATATGAGATAAATTTAGGCTGTGTGGAGACAGCCCTTTGAGGTATGTAGCAAAAGGTGAAGTGGTGGTGGAAAGTATTGTTGGTGACTTGTATTAAAATTCAGTCATGTTTTGACTTGAGAATTTTTCCCTCTGTACTGAAACTCAATGTTTTAACAGATTGAGTAATTTATTTCATTGTTTGTTAGTTTGAAGCCTCTTTTGGACATTCCAGTCTCTGGTGTATGGCTTAATGTGGTGATGCAACATTTTACAGGACAAAGAAGAAAGCATGCACCTTGCCCACAAAAAAAAAGTCCTTGTTGAAAATGATCAAATTAAAGAATGTGAAACATGAGATTTGTTAAGTCTCAGCTGTAGAATTGAGCACGTTGTGGTACATTGAGCATTTAACTGACGGGGTCAACGGTATTTCAGGCTTGATTATACTTGGATAATCAATTTTTTTTTTCTGACTGATGTAAGGAGTCCTTGAATTTTTCAACTGAGTCCTAAGGATAAGATGGATGTTGCAGAGAAGTTGATACAAATTTTCACTTAGCAATACAAAGGGCCAAGATCATTTCTAGGTTGGGGGGGGGGAAAAGGAGCCAGTGCCGAGTTAAGTTAATTCTACTATGTTCAATAAGTATTTGATCCCAACCCAGAAAAGCAACTACTCAATTACCACAGGTCCAGTTCCATCCCCAAGTTAACCACCCATGCAAACTCTTCAGTTTTGCAGCAAGGCACAATGAACAGGGGACAGTTTTGTGTTCCGAGGCTGTCAGTCACGACTGTTGTAGCTGGCAGTGGCTGCTAAATTCAAACTCTGGCCTGGAACATGAATGGTCACGTGGCGTTCCAGCTAACCATTTAGTTCCAACTAAATGGTGTGTATTCAGACACTAAACCATGCTTTTCTTGAGTTTGTAAAGCTTAAATATGACTGATCAGTGAAAGGATCTCCATTATCAAGTCTGTTCAGATTGAGGAGCCAGTGATGTGCTAATGTGCCCTCCCCTAGGGATAGTAAGACAGTGGTTCACTGGAATGTTTCCCATAGGCAAGTTTCTCACCTCCGCTAGTTACTTGTGAGGCAGTTGTCTTCGTAGAAGGAATGGAAAAACTTGATTCATACCTGACACGCTGGAGAAGCCTATTATTGTAGTCCTCCAAGTCATTTTGTTCCATTTCAGAAGGATGATTGTCTGTCACCATTTCACTTAAAAGTGAGAATTACATGAATCAGTTCTTCCCACTCTAGTTATTGACAAAGTTGCTAGTCACTTTGCGCTCTTTGGAAAGGAGTTAATTCCAGGTGATTGCAAGATAACTTTGGCTGTAAGAATCCCTTGATTTGTTTAAGATTTTAGAAAATGAACTTCAATGCAGCATCTATCTGATTCTTAAACATGCATTGTCTGATATTTGTCACTCTCCTCGGTGATTATTCCATCATACTTTGTGCACAGAATTACTTGGCACTTATTGGAATTTTGTTCTTTACAAAGCAGTTAATTTCACCCTGACACATTTAAAAGCCTGTCCAAAGTCTTTGTTTATCTCTTCAGGCAGCTTGTCGGCATTCTAAGGCCCCCAAGTCAAATATAAGCCTTAAATTCATCCCTTTAAATTGGATCAGCCTCATTATTGATATGTGTGGTGCCTCGAAGCTGGATACTACTTTTTTGTATTTTTAGTTGCAGTGCGACCAGGTCGCAATTTCAGAGTAATGTCCTGTGATATGTTCTGAATTGATCTGATACTATAATCTGGCGTTCTGTTACCTTCCTTTATTGCTCTTTTAGTGGACATGCTGAGCAACCTTTTGCTAATATCTCTGGATCCCTTTCAACTTGGCGAGTTTTGTCACATGATTAAGAGTGCCTCCTATTTTTCTTATTCCCAATGCTTTGTACTTTGTATTTGTTCTTCATGTGACGCTGGCCAACTCAAGATGATATCCTGTTGAGTTCTCTGTGTAAGGTCTTACTGCCTCTGTGTCTGTCGCTCTTTTCTCTGTTGTTCATCTATATCAGTATGGTGAACGTTACTTAGCAAGCTTATAAACTATGCCCTGGTCGTTGACCTGAAATGTAAATTTGTGCATAAAAGATTTCTCTTGTATTGCCTGCCTTAAAATATAGGCAGATTAAGGTCAAGACCTGGTATTCACACTTAAATGTGAAGCATTCTTCTAATTTGAATTCAAAGAGTTTGAGATAACTGGCTTGAATCAGAAAAGTGTGTGCTGTTTTTTGTATGACTTGCAAATAGTTGCGTATAGAAGGAATAAATATTATTAAAATCAATCTCAAAAGCAGCCCAGATTGATGGGATAAAAGCTCTCCCCTCCCAGCTGCATGAACTTCCTTGTGAAATTATTAGTAAGTCTCAATTTTGCATGAACAGTACAGAGGCTATTCACATCTGAGGGCACATAACATAAAGATATCAAATTGGTGCAGTACAAGTGCATGTCTGCCTTTGAACATGTTGGAACAGTGCAAATGGAACTTTTACTTTGTAGCTGTAGTAAATCGCATGTTACGATTCAGATGTTATAATGGGAGCGCAGAAGAGAGGGAGGTGCTCAGCTGCGAAGTTCTAGCATTCCTTATCTTCTGTTTAATATAAACTAAAATATTTAGTTTTTACTAAAGGACGAAAAGTTGTTCTTGGAATCTTGAATGGTGTTCCCTTAAATTAGTATTTCAAACGTTTGCCAAATTTATATTTTCAGGTATTTGTCTGCCTATGGAAAGGGTGCAAAGTATACAATACGCCATCTACTAGTCAGAGCTGGCTGCAGAGGCATATGCTTACGCATAGTGGAGACAAACCCTTTAAGGTACGTGTGAAAACATCCATTCCAAATTCTATCAGAGATAGTAGGAACTGCAGATGCTGGAGAATCTGAGATAACAAGGTAGTTGTGGCTTCAGAAGAATGTGGGTGAAATTTTGTATGGAATGAGTCAAAAGTCATGGGTTTCAAATGAATGGCGATACAGATTTCTCAAAATGCCTAACCTTCTGTTTGGCTTAAGTGAAAGACCGTATTGGAAACTAGTTATTTTAGATTTGGGCTAAATATACAGCTGTATAGCATAATGCATAATTGGCAGACCAATGCTGCTTGCTGCACATCTGTCAAGGTCATTAGATGACCCACAAAGGAATTCTCTATCTGAACATTTGTTGCATAGAAAGCAGAGCAGCTTTATATAATTCACTTGAGCATCTGGGTCACTTTGAAAAGGCTCCTTTTACACCAGCTTCAAATTAGACTGAAAACTTCATAGCTTAGTATGCTGCAGGACTGTCTGTTGGCAGGATCTGTCATTATTTGACTTGCATGGCATGAGACATCAAGTTAGAATCATAACTTTCACAGTGTTACAACTACTGATACCTTTAAGAAAAAAATGGCAGAATAACAGCACCTGACTGCAAAGGTATAAAAAGTGGTACTAACTACAGAGGAGATATTATGTAGGACTAGTATTTTTCACTGCTTCCAATTGAGAGTTAGAATCTAATATTAAAACAGCCTATTGTTAGAAACCTGACATTTTAATAAAATTTAGTTTTCTTCTGGATTTGTTTCTCATCATAAATAATTGATACACTTGAAGCTTTGCTAGTCAAATCCTGCTGGAGTTTGGATATGAAAATGTATTTTGAAATTCACATTAACTATAATTAGTCAGTAATAATATCCACATATCACACAAGATCAATTAGTAACTCGTTTTAATAAGCTAGAATTAATTGTGTTGTCTGCTTCTGAGTAGTGAGTTGCTTCTTGAAAGCTAAGATTCAGAGAAGGAGGAAAAGCCCAAACAGGCAGCAGCTGAAACTTATCAGGTAGCAAAAATGGATTGTGTATTGTACTGTGGAACTGAGGGGATAGGTGGGTGAGACTGGTTTCGGATCCCCTTCAGATCAGCCTTCTCATCTACAGTTGGCACTTTCCTAATGTTGCTCTCCCAACTTTTTTTAAATAGAACTTTGGGGACAAGAATAGATCATTTAGCTCCACAAGCATCTTACTGTTCTATTTGATCATTAATAGTTTCAATTAGCTCAGTTGGCTGGTTAACAATGCCGTGACACCACAGCATAGTTTCAGTTCCCAAACTAGCTGAGGCATGGTGACTCAAGATGACCTCACCATCAATCATGTCTCCCTAATGAAACAGCACCTTCGGGTCCTACGGAACTTTAATTCCATGGCTTATTGTTCTTCAACTCAATCTACTTCTTATTGCTCCGAACCATACAATATACTTGAATAACAAACTTATCAGAGCTCATTTTTCTTTATTTTCAATTGACTCAGCAACTTTGAGCCATTAATAAGAGTTCCAGATTTTCACTGTGCTTTGTGAAAATGTTTCCAGACTTCAGTCTTGAATGACCTACCTCTGATTTGAAGTTCCAGATTGTTGATGGTTTCCATGCATCGCTGCTATTGAATATCTTTATCTTTTCGATCATAAGTCAATCACTGTCAACTGTCTAATCAAGTGAATACAAGTAAAGTTTATGTAACCTTTCATAATTTAACTCTTGAAATTCTAGATTTTGGGCACTATCCCTCCAATGCCAACATATATTTCCCTGAAAATGTTCAGTGGAAAGATGTGCTAAGTTCTTGATTTTCACGAAAGCTAACGCACGTTTCCATTAACACTGGATGGGTATATAGTTTGTACTTCCATGGTTTTAATGCTACAAATTTATGACGTCTTGATGAATTTCAAACTAACTAATGAATTCCATTTCCAGTTTTTTCAAAGAAAGCTTTGCATTTATATCAGAGATAGTAGGAACTGCAGATGCTGGTGAATCCGAGACAACAAGGTGCAGGGCTGGATGAACACACAGCAGGTCAAGCAGCAGCATAGGAGCAGAGAGGCTGACGTTTCGGGCCTAGACCCTTCATCAGAAAAGGGGGAGGGGAAGGGGGTTCTTTCAATTCCTCCCACTTCCTACAGACAAAGGGGGTAGCCATGGGTACCCGCATGGGCCCAAGCTACGCCTGCCTCTTTGTAGGTTACGTGGAACAATCCCTCTTCCATACCTACACCGGCCCTAAACCCCACCTCTTCCTCCGTTACATTGATGACTGTATCGGCGCCGCCTCATGCTCCCACGAGGAGCTCGAACAGTTCATCCACTTCACTAACACCTTCCACCCCAACCTTAAGTTTACCTGGACCATCTCTAACACCTCTCTCCCCTTCCTGGACCTCTTTGTCTCCATATCGGGCAACCACCTAGAAACTGATATTCATTTCAAGCCCACTGACTCCCACAGCTACCTAGAATACTCCTCCTCCCACTCACCTTCCTGCAAAAATGCTATCCCCTATTCCCAATTCCTTTGCCTCTGCCGCATCTGCTCCCAGGATGAGGCATTCCACTCCCGTACATCTCAGTTGTCCTCGTTTTTCAAGGACAGTAACTTCCCCACCTCAGTGGTCGAGAACGCCCTCAACTGTGTCTCCCACATCTCCCGCAACTCATCCCTCACACCCCGTCCACGCAATAAGAATTCCAAAAAAGAATCCCCCTTGTCCTCACGTACCACCCCACCAACCTCCGGATCCAACACATCATCCTCCGACACTTCCGCCATCTGCAATCCGACCCCACCACCAAAGACATCTTTCCCTTCCCACCCACTATCTGCTTTCCGGAGGGACCACTCTCTCCGTGACTCCCTTGTCCGCTCCACACTCCCCTCCAGTTCCACCACACCCGGCACTTTTCCCTGCAACCACAGGAAGTGCTACACCTGCCCCCATACCTCCTCCCTCACCCCCATCCCAGGCCCCAAGAAGACTTTCCACATCAAGCAGATGTTCACCTGCACATCTGCCAATGTGGTATACTGCATCCGCTGTACCCGGTGTGGCTACCTCTACGTCGGGGAAACCAAGCGGAGGCTCGGGGACCCTTTGCAGAACACCTGCGCTCGGTTCGCAATAAACAACTGCACCTCCCAGTCGCGAACCATTTCAACTCCCCCTCCCATTCCTCAGACGACATGTCCATCCTGGGCCTCCTGCAGTGCCACAACAATGCCACCCGAAGGTTGCAGGAACAGCAACTCCTATTCCGCTTGGGAACCCTGCAGCCCAATGGTATCAGTGTGGATTTCACAAGTTTCAAAATCTCCCCTCCCCCTACCGCATCCCAAAACCAGTCCAGCTCGTCCCCGCCTCCCTAACCTATCCCCTCCTCCCACCTCAAGCCGCACCTCCATCTCCTACCGACTAACCTCATCCCGCCCCCTTGACCTGTCCGTCCTCCCTGGACTGACCTATCCCCTCCCTAACTCCCCACCTGCACTCAACTTTACTGGCCCCATCCCCGCCTCTTCGACCTGTTTGTTTCCTCTCCACCTATCCTCTCCTCTATCCATCTTCTATCCTCCTCCCCCTCTCTCCCTATTTATTTCAAAACCCCCTTCCCCTCCCCCTTTTCTGATGAAGGGTCTAGGCCCGAAACGTCAGCCTCTCTGCTCCTATGATGCTGCTTGACCTGCTGTGTTCATCCAGCCCTGCACCTTCTTGTCTCTTTGCATTTATATAATGCTTTTTGTTGAATGTCTCTCATTTATATGGAGTACTTTTTGAGGTGTAGCATTGTTGTAAAGTTAGAAACATGACAGTCCATTTGCATTTAATAAGCTTCTTCACACAGTAGTGTGATAGTGATCATAATATGTTTGTGTTGAGTGATAAATTTTAGCAAGGACATGGACAGTTCCTTTAATCTAGGTAGTGTCTTGGGGGATGTTTAATGTCTAAAAGAGCAGTCAGGTGGGGCTTTGGTTTCATGTCTCATTCAAAAAACTGGGTTTCCAACAGTGCAGTACTTCAGTACTTATGCATACTGGATTGGGACTTGGACCTGGAGCCTTGTCATTCAGAGGTGAGTGTTTTATCCACTGAGCCCTGGCTGATATCAAGGTTTTTGGAATATTCTTCACTTTTGTTCTTTATGAAGTAGCTGATTTGTTGCTATTTGCAAGAAAATGAATGAACATCCTGTCACAGTATCTTTTGTCTTCAATTCAAAAGTATGTTCTAAGTGATTACGTCAACAATCTGCTTCTTTGAAGATTTGAAATGTTTAATTTGAAAATAAAATTTGTTTATGATGGTGTGCTGTACTTCAGTTCTTTGATTTGTTTGTGTAACTGCAGATTTTTGAATTAATCAGTCAGCTTGTTGTACAATATTGATTTTTTTACAGTGGTTTGCTTTTGATGTTGCAAAGTGAAATGTGACTTTTTTTCTGTTTTCTTTTCAGTGTGTTGTTGGTGGGTGTACTGCCAGCTTTGCATCACAAGGTGGCCTTGCTCGTCATGTACCTACACACTTCAGCCAACAGAACTCTGCAAAAGTCACTAGTCAGCCGAAGGTTAAGGAGGAGTCACCTTCTAAAGCTGTTATGAACAAACGAAGAAGGCTAAAGAATAAACGACGACGTTCACTACGTAAGTTCTCATATTTCTGATTGTTACACTGACTTACCTGCAACCAGTGTTTCTAGCTTAAAATAAGCAATATACTACTGTGTCCTTGGATCAACAGTTGACATTTAGTTCATCTCATCTCAGGAATGTACTCGACTTAATTAGCTTCAGCTTTATTTGTGTTCAGGGTGATGGTTTTTATTTCGCTGGTGGCTATGCACGATTGGTCCTAGTTACTTTTGGATGTGTAGCATTGCTTGTAATTGACTGTTTTTTTAAAAAAAAAAGTTGTAAATGGGTATTTCAGTACCATTTAAGACAGATAAAGCAAAGATTATTTAGCATGGATAAGAGTGTTGTTGGCCTGACAATTTCATTTTCCCTCTTGTCGACCCCAATCTCCTTATTAAATGTTAGTAAATTCCCAAAGGGTCATTGATGCCCTTTCGGAAATTGAATTTCAACTTTTACTTACTTTAGCCTGTGTACAATTGAAAACTTGCTTCATGTGGTTTACTCTTAATGCCTTCCTTCTGAAGTGTCCTGTGCAGGCACTCAAATGGACAAACACAAGAATATCTCAGCTGTCAAGATGATTTTAACATTGCCTTCATTTGCCCAGTGAAGTGGTGAGACGTTTGGTTAGCTCAGTAATCTGAACACATGATCGTAGTTCATTCTAATTCCAAACAGATATTTGACTATAGGCTTAACACTCTTTCCTGAGACAGATTTTAAGGCATTGAACAAAATTCTGCCAATAGAATATGAAAATTATTAGAGTCAACATGAAACCTGATTGGATTAAAAATGACCTATTTACTTTCAGTGGGCTTCAGGCGGTTGTTGAGCAAAGGCTGCCTGTTATGAACATATCCAGGGATCACAAATGTATCATTGCGGATGAGCTTCCTAGCAACCACACCACATTTTTCAGCAGTCACAGTGCCCTTTTGTTGTGATTTCAATGTCTAGCAGCACAGCTGGGCACTTTGACAGTTCCTGTGAAAATGTAAATGAGTTAAATTGTTAACATGGCCCTTAGTTGAGTGGTTGAAGTGCAAGGTTTGGAGTTCGAAGGTGCTGGGGATAGGTGTGTGGTGATTAGGCCTTTGAAGTTTGTGGGTCTGGGAGCAATGTCATTTGGCAGGACAGCTTACTATTGTTACTGATGACTTAAAGTAGATGTTTAAGCTCCTAACTTCACTTAAGTACCTATTAATCCTTGAGTCAGATCCTCTGAATTCTATGCCGTTGGAGTGTCTTGGAGGCTTTCAGATGCAGGGGAAATGCCCATAGGGGAATTCAATTTTCTGTGCAATTCCCATGAAGCCGACTGCTTCAGGGATTCTGTATGAAACTGGCGTGTACCTCAATTTACATTGCTGCAATAACTCACTGACCTTTGGAATATCTGCGACTATGTAACCACACGTCAAATATTCAAAGCACAGAGATGTCATTTAGTGGATGATACTTCCACAAAGTTTGAATGATTACCACTTAACTTCACTATGGTTTAATTGTCTTCCTCGTTGATTGAAACATTGGATCACAGGGTTACTACTATTAAGCTTTATAGAGCGGCATGTTTGCATAAATAAGAGTAAAGTGCTATTTGTTTTGTTCTTTCATGATATACGAACAGGGGAGAGTTTGTCTGAAGGTTTGGCAATGACTCCAGCATTAGTTGCTCCAAGGTGAGACTGAGCACCAAAACTCAGTGGTTCAGGCTGCTTTGTCATGGTAAGCAGAAGGAGTTTTGCTATTAATCAAGATCATTTTGATGAGCAAATAATTGAGAGGCATGATTCATGCATGTGTACAGATCAGGACTCTTTTCCTCTGTCATCCCTACTGCTAGTGGAAGTGCTCTGTTCTGAGATCACAATAGCAAATGTGTGAAATAGGAGTAAAATGTAGGTGGTCATTACTGTAGGCAGTTTGTCACTGTCTGATACATACCAATAATTTGACTTTGTAGCCTAACCTGTGCATGAAAAAAAGCAGTGCACAAAATGTTTTACTGTAGTTGAATCACCAGATTGATTGTCCCTCAAGTAAGCACAACCACTGTTCACTGACATAATGTATGTAATATTAGTAGTGTCAACAAGAGGACTACTTTAATCTGAACCATTTACAGTGCAATAAAATTTCTGTCCTTTTATTGAAGTAACCATTTAGAATTTGAAAGCAGCTTTAATTTCTGATATACATGAATGACTTTGAGAAGGGTTTCCATATTTTCTACTGATTATAGTGGTTGCAGAAACTTTATATCTTGGCTTCCAAAAGTAATCTACAACCCAGCCCATACTGGTTATTTACAATCAAACACCTGTTGGTGACAGATGGCGCAGAGATACGTTACAGGTAGTGTAACAGATGAATTGTACTGTGGTCAGGACTGTAAGAAAAGCAAGCTATCATGTTTGGCCAGTGTCAGTGACACTTAAGTTTATGTAGCTGTCAGAAATTGGGGTAGAGTTACATTGCAGCCAAGTGCTATTTTTGGATGCTATGTATAAAAGTAAATTTGCTCGGTTCCAACTAAATTTGGAACTGAGGAAACCTTTTTTATGAGGAAGAATTGAATATGCTTTCTGAATCTTTGAGACCTGCTTTAGATCCTCTGTCATATTGTATGTAGCATAAAATGAAACCTCAGACACCCAATGGTTTTGCATCTGGCTGCACACTAGGTAACCTGTCATGTTGTAAAGCTTTATAGTTTAAGCACTTTTCATCCTTTCAGCCAACTTGAGATGGTGTGTTTAATGTTTACCACCAGAATTTGTTTGCCTTTAATACTAAGCTTGTTTTGCCTAAAATATGTAAGTGTAATTTCAGTTGAAATTCTGACTGACTGATAATGGTACCAAAATTAGAAAACTTTTACTGTTTTTGCATTTTATCTTGAGGGCAGATTTTATTTAATTGTTTTTTGATCTATCCTCTCGTAACCAACTTTCAAAAATAGTGATAATTCAAGTGAAGTTAAACCCACTGGTGAACTGCCCCTTTGATATCTTCCTCTTATTTTGCAGCAAGACCGCATGACTTCTTTGATGCACAAACAATGGATGCAATACGACATCGGGCCATCTGCTTTAACCTGTCGACACGTATTGAAAGCCATGGAAATGGGCATAGTGTTGTGTTCCATAGCACAGTGAGTAAAACTTTCCCAGTGGTCTGCTCTCCTGCGTGCAGTACTGTTAACTTTCAAGCGTGAAAATAAAGTCTTAGTATCATAATATCCTTTCAACTCAATATACTGGAAACTGTAAATATGGTCTGGAAATACATAGGATAAAAGATTGAGACAGATGTCTGTCAGGTGAGAACATACATAGCTCATTTCTTGCTAGATTAAATGTGCAGCGACTTTAAGTATGCTGTCAAGACAACCACATCTGTAGCAGTATCACATTTTACTCTGGCCATATTCCCCTCATTGCATATTCTGGCATTGATGATTGGATGCTTCATACAAAAAAGTCTTCTGCAGTGACTGTTTTTGAATCGAATGGATAAGCATATGAAATTATTAATTAATGTTGAGTTTGTTGATCGCTGCTATGTTGAGACCAGTTGGGATTCTGTTTTGGCTTTTGTACCCTGGACTAGCATGCAGTAAAATCAACTACCAAAGATTATTGTATACAGATATAATCTTGAATTTACTAAAATCCCAAAACAGGTTTTGTGTACTTGTTTCATGTAGAGACTCCATGATTTTGCATCCAGATACATTAGGTAACCTGTCATGTCGTAAAGCTTTTGCGTAAGCACTTTCCACCCTTTCAATCAATTTGAGATATCGTATTTAATGTTAACCACTCAGCTTTATTTGCTTTTACAATGTGCATGTTTTGCCTAAAATCTGTAAAATGTATCAGGATTTTGACCCAGCGACAGTGAAGGAATAGTGATATTTCAGGGTCATTTGGTGAGTGAGCTTCATGGGGGCGTTGTTCCCATATGTCTGCTGCCCTTGTCCTTCTAGATTGAAATGGTCATGGGTTTGAAAGGTGCTGTCTGCAGATCTTTGAATTTCTGCAGTGCATCTTGTCGATAATAATACACATTGCTGCGACAGAGTGGTGGTGGAGGGCGTGGATGCTTGCTGATGCAGTGCCAATCAAGCGGGCTGCTTTGTCCTGGATGGTGTCAAGCTTCTTGAGTGTTGTTGGGGCTGGATCCATCCAGGCAAGTGGGAAGTATTCCATCACTCTCCTGACTTGTGCCTTGTAGATGGTGGACAGGCTTTGGAGAATGAAGAGTGACTTGCTCGCTGCAGTATTCCTATCCTTTGACCCGCTCTTGTAGCCACTGCATTTATGTGGTGAGTCCAGTTGAGTTTCTGATCAATGATAATTCCCAGGACGTTGACAGTAGGGGATTCAATGATGGTCACACCATTGAATGTGATGGGGTACTGGTTAGATTGTCTCTTATTGATGATGGTCAAAGCCTGGCATTTGTGTGGTGCGAATGTTACTTGGTTGATACATGCCACAATCTACAGTACATATCAATTCCCATGTTAGTTTCTGTATATGCACATTGGGTAAGGATTGGATTATAGTATGATTGCCTCAGTTCAAAGAATCATCAGAAGCTCCTGTTGAGGATCATGTACAATTCCATTTGAGCAAAGCAATATAGCTGCACGTGCCACTGTGTACCTAGGTGAAGGAATAGAGAAACATTGGTCAATAAGCAAAATCCAGCTGGTTCGGAAACTTACACAATGCAGGGTAGTTTGCATTTTTCAATATCAAATCAGGGTGTTCAGTTTAGCTAACTCCTGCGATTGTGCAGAAGTTTGTTACTCCTCTGAACGAGATGACCTTGTCTGTCTTGGTCAGGTAGTATAGCTATGTGCAAACAATATTAAACTTGTTTCTACTAGCTGAACTTATGATGCTTCATTAAAATCAAAAATGCAGCACAAGGCTTGGTTTGGAAAAAGGCTAAATGCCTGAGCGAAGTATAGACAGGGAGCAACCACAAAACAAATTAAATTTCTTGAGCAGCTTCTGAGTTAACTCAGATTCCATTACTTGGAGGCATGGTGTCCTGATGCCCCTCGAGGCAAATACCCGTGTAACTTCCAGATGGTTTAAACAGCTGTCTTCTGTCATCCATTCCACTGACTTTGAGAAGATCAATAAGCTTGACTGGTAGAGGACTGGAGGTGCCATCTTTTGTATGAAATATTATACCAGGGCCTAGTCAAGGCGCTCAGTGGACACTTAAAAATCTCTGGTACTATTTCAACTAAGGGCCAGAATTTAACCCTCAAATGTAAATTGCATAGGGCTTTGTGGGCATGATCAAATTGCTGTTTGAGAATTTGTGCTCAATTGGCTGCTATATTTCTTGCATTTTGTTAGGTACTACTTTTGAAAAGTGCTTTGTACAACATTTCCCAAAAGCACTACATAAATGCATACCTGTCTTTACGCGAAAGTGTTGACCTGGTATGCATTCACCTTGCGCAGTAAAATTCAGAGCACAAACATCCCAGCTACTGTTGAAAGATTTCACAATATATAGTGAAGTCCATCTTTTTCTTTGTCTACTGAGGGCCATTAGGAAATTCTAATACTTGAAATGATTCCCATTTTTTGCGAAGTTGGTATAGTACTTGTGGATTGGAAGGCAGGGCATTAGAATTTGTTTGTAAAATGATAGGGGGATGTGTGGTCCCTTTAAGGTTTCTTTTAGGGCAGATGCGCAGAGTTCTTGAAATTGAAATATTGTATCATAGGCAATACTGTTAGCAGGCAAAGCAGCATTTTTACCAAGACAACAGATTTTTGAATTCAGCCAAATAATTTAAACCAGGCCCTAGATACCAGAGCCTAATTAAATTTAACTGATCGTTTTGACAAACTCAGACCAATTCTATTCTAAGAAATTAATAGGTCATCAAGGCTATAAAAGAAGAGGCCATTTGAAAATCAGTGTGAGAGTCACCTGTTGTCTACCAAGAGACTAGCTCTCAGCCATAAGAGAGGATCACTAGCTCTCTCAGAATATCTAAGCTCTGAGTAAGCACCATCCAAATAAAGGTACTATGGCACTCTTAGCTAATATTCCAGACACGAATTCAATGGAAGAAGGCATTCCTGACAGGAGGACAGTGGAGAAGGCAAAGAATATTCCAGAACACTCATCCTGGCTGTAATCTTGAGACTAATTTTTATTTTTTTTTAAAGTTCAGTTTATTTAAGTGGGATTTGTATTTATTGGAACAGCATACCATTAGAATTCTGTTTTATTCAGGAATAGTTAGTGGTTAAGGGGGAATTGTTCAGTTTGTTAGTAGTTCTGTTAATTTGTTAACTTAAATAAATTGTTACTTGTTGATTGTAGAGTGACTGTCAGGAGTTCATTTTATTTCACGTCTCCTTTGTAACACGTTACAATGATTAATTTTGTATCCTGAGAAAGGGAATAGATATGGCTAAAATTCACCTCTCGTCCATTGTGTGAAATTTCTAAGAAGTGACAATGATACTCAGGTTGCCATTTCACTCCTTTATTATGTTACAAGTGAGCTCGGTCTATCGGGCAGGAGATTCCGAGCAGGGCTCCTTCAGAAATGCAGACCTGTACTTTAATTCTGGCAGGTCCCTCATAGTGCAGGATAATTGGGGGAGGACAAACCATATACCCCTTTTCAAAGCAGTCTGTTGCCATGTTTGGTGATTTAAGGATCCAGCATCACAGACAGCCAGTTTCACAGGTCCTTTGATAGGGTAATTACATAAGACGAACATGAAGCTATGGTGCCAGGAGGATAGTGTGCTTTGTAAATAAGGTGCCAAAATGCAAGTGCTTGAGTCTGGAAATGGCTCCCGGGTGTAAATGGGGGTCTGTTTTGGGGCGGAAATGCATGTGGAACATTGGGGCCATCGGGTTATAGTTGCTGAGGAGTTAGTGTTTAATAGTCTTAACTTTTCCTGCGTAACTGCTTAACTAACTGCAGCAAAACTCTCTGAATTGGACAATTTAAAGCATACTTTTGAGAATTCTAGGTATAGGGACTTGTCCATCAGAATCTTCAGTTTCCTGGACCATTCCCTCAGACTGCTGCAGAAATTATCTTGCCCATCAGAAAATCCATGCAGCTGTGCTATTTGTGACTGACTAAATTTTAATGTCTTTTATTGCAATAAGAAACACTTTACCCATCTTTGAAATTTTGATATAAGCTCTGAACACTGCGTTTACTTGTTCAAAGGCAGCTGAGCATGATTGGCTGTAACTGCCTGTACATGGACTTCATGATGAGAGTTCAGGGATTCTTGAACTATTTTTGAGTGCCAAATTTTGCAGGAGAAATTATCCTAATTGCCAATAACCTTTAACAGGCACACATTGTGAGCTTGTGTGAAATGCCACCATGATAAATTAAAGATGTTCTGGCGGTGGGGTAGATGGTGGTGGTTGAACTATCAAATTAATGTGCCTAGTTTCATTTTAATCTTCTGGGGGAAGGACTGAAATGCCTTTGCTTGGTATAGAATTTTTATGACTTTGGTACATCTGTAATTTTATACTCATTTAACAGCACTTCATTTTTAAATGTCAGCACTCATAATTGAAGGTAATTTCTTTAATAAAGGCAAGTGGTTCCTTCTAAACATCAAACTTTTCAAAAGAAATAGTTTGTATACTGATATAATATCACTCCTGTGATTCATTTATAATATAAAGATGATGTTGCCAACAACATGTATGTAACTTTGTTTTGGGAGTTTTCTTAACTTTTGAAATTGTCTAATCTTGATCCAAATATTTGGCTGAAGATTATTATCTGTTATTTGCCAGCAAATAATAGAATTCTGTACAAGTTTTCTTTAATGAACATGACAAAATTAAAACTAGTCAGTTAAGATTGGTGTTTCAACCCCAAGCACAGGTTTTATTATGAGTATGAAGTTTATCAAAGAGGAGCTGGAACAAAGGAACCAGTAGAGGAATGCGCTCGGCAGTTACTTGCAAGCTGCAAAGGTTTTTCTTTATTGTTATATGCACCAGCACCTCAGCATAAGTTACTCGATGCTAAGTTGGTGAGGAGAACGATATAGCTCCACAGTAAATTGCCAAACCCCTATTTTTATAAGACTGTTTCCACATTTATTATCCTTTCATTTTGGTGGTTATGCTCATGATAGCTTTGATTCCTACAGCTGTTTGGAACACAAGTCATTGTTTTGACTTAACTGGGGTGTTCTGTATCCAATCAAAGAAATAACTGGGAGCCATCTAGGAGTGACACTTTTTAAGTCTTTATCTCTTCTGTTCTTAAAAGAAAAAGGACCTGCAGTTGGTGGAAATCAGAAACCTTAGCTACAGTCAGTTTTGAAGCAGGGTCACTGAACTCAACATTGACGGTTTCTGTTTCTGTTCTGTTTATGGATTAACCAGAAACTCTGCAGTGGGGTCAGGGACCCAATCCATGCTTTATAGATTAGATATTACATGGGGCATGTGTTCTAACAGACGTAATTGGGAAGGCTTGTAACTCAGGTTGTGGATGAGGTTGTAGACTTGCTCGCCAAGCTGATGTGATTGCAAATGTTTCATCATCCTGCTAGGTAACATAGTGCGCTTCCAGTGAAGTGTTGGTGTTCTGTCCCGCTTGTTATTTATATGCATCGGTTTGCTGGGGTAGTTGGTATTACTTCCAGTTTGGTTTTTCAGTGGTTTGTATATCAGGTCCAGTTCAATGTGTTTGTTGCACAACCCGGAATTGCGCAAAGCAGAACAAGAGCACTTATACGGAGTTTTTAAAAGGAACGGATACCCATAAAGCGCAATCCACCACTACCTCCGTGACTGACTGGAACAAGAAGACACAACACGACCAAACACACTAGTCACTGTACCGTACATCAGAGATGACCACAAGATTACTCGGACCCCGAGGTATCAGGGTAGCCCACAAACCAATAACCACCCTGCAATAGCTACTGATAAATGTAAAGGATCCCATACCCACAACCAATAAGACCAATGTTATATATAAATAAACTACCATGCAAGGACCGTGAGAAACATTACATACGCGAAACTGGAAGAAAACTGACATTAAGGATACACAAACACCAACAATACACCAAGAGACGAGCAATTCTCACTGGTCTCAATACACGTGGACAAAGATGGACATGAATTTGACTGGGACAACACGTACGTAATAGCACAAGCCAAACAGAGACATACCAGAAAATTCCTGGAGGCCTAGCATTTCAACTGGAACTCTATCAACAAACACTTTGAACTGGACCCGATATACAAACCGCTTAAAAACAGAATTGGAAGTGATGCCAACCGCCCCAGCAAACCAAGGCGCATAAATAACAAGCGGGACAGACTATCAACGTTTCACCGGAGGCGCGATGACAAAACATCTGCAATCAAACACACTGGCTTGGCGAGCAAGTCTACATCCTCAGGCAGAATTGGCTTGTTTTATTTCTTTTCATTTTTGTAATTGCATCCCTGTTTTTAATACTGTTTGTTTCCCATCTCAGTATATACTAACCTGTAACGTGGGGCGTTATTTCAGAGTCTTTTTCCAGGGGTTTTACCCATTGCTGCTCTTTCTGTTTCTGACTAATGCACCACTAAATGTTGCTAAATTAGCAAATTCTTGAGTTAGGATGGCTTGTGCCAGCAATGAAAATTGTCATGGTTGTGGATAAGAGTGAGGAGTATTATTGGAACAGAATATATGGGGTTATGCTGTTTGCCAGATAAACTGTGCTTCACCTTTGTTGAATATTTAATTTTGGGTACACTGAATAAAGTATCACGTGTACACAAATCAGAGAAAATGTTTAAACATCCTGTGGCTCAAATGTTTGCTGCATTGTTACTGAGCTTTAGGGACAACTATTATAATTTTTAGTGTGGAGATATTTGGTTAAAGAGAACACAGCAATTGCAGAAGTACAAAACCTCATCCTGCCAACCTGAAATTGCTCTAAATTTGATCTCTAAAGCGTTTGTAGTAGCTTGAACTTGCCCTTCCAATTGAGGTTAGACCCTCCATGTCAATGAAAATGTTGAATTGGACCCTGTTTAGGAAGTTCCTTTGATCAGATGGAGAAATGAGTTTCTTTGGGTTGTAATGTTGCTGTTCATCCCATCAGTGCTTGTCACAGCAACTACCTCAAGGATATGACATGATGCCAAACGTATGGACCCCTTCCTTTTCATCCTCAGTCCTTAACTGTGATAATGTGGATTTAAAATAGACCTAATGTTCGCCCCATCAAGTTGGGGAACGGTGTGGAGGAAGCCATTATAGATGCTAATTCTGTGATAATCATAGAAAGAAAGACAAGCCTTGTTAGACAACAGAGGTAAATCAATGCTTTAAGAAATTATTCTCATTCAAGCTGCTTTTTGATCATTTAATCTTTTTTCCCCTTTCTTCTCTTGGCCCTTCATTTCTCTTGTAAATCTCTAAGACTTTGTACTGAATGCCTTAACATCCATTATATAATGTTACCTGCAAGGCAAAGGAGACTTTTGGAGGGAATACAAGTAATTATATCCCAGGAACTTGACATTCTTGTCCATAAGTACATCTGTAGCTTGTTTTCTATACAACTCCCAAAGTAAAGATAGCTTCAAAAGGGGACAGTGGGGGAAATGAAATATTTCCAATAGAAAGATGGCAGAACCTTCACTGATTAAGAATATAGAAAGAATGCAGGTAGACCAGGAAGAACACTCCTTTGTTCCATTCTCTCAAAAAGCATGGGAGGATTCTGTATCATAATTAACCCACTGCCCATAAACCCCATTTAATGGAAACATTTCAAGTAGTTAAATGTTTCACCCAATCTAGTGGAGTTCAATAGATTTCCTTGTTTCATTGGCATGATAGACCTGCACAAGAAATACCCCAGTTTTATTGCGGTGGAGTACATCACAGTGCAAGTTACACTCCTGTTTGGCTTCAGACCAGTACCAATCTGTGATCACCATTTTTGGGCACATGCAGAATGCCAATCTTCTTATCTGATTCTTGTGAATGATAACTGCCTTTGAAAAGATTGCCAGTTGCTTCTTGTACAGAACCAACTCATCCTACAATCAGGACTCTGCTTAAATTGGTGAGGTTGGCAAATAATGGAGTTTCAAGCCTCCTTTAATATTTGGCAATCTAATTTCTCTTACGTTGATTCTCATTAGCAAAATCCAAAATAACGTTAATCATAGCAAGTCTAAGATGCAGTGACTAGATTAATGTAAGTTTTCATCAGTAGTATAAAATATGTACAAAATAAAGAACTCCTCTAAACATTTGCTGTAGAATGGGGCAATCTGATGTGTTGTAGCATTTGTCCACAAGAGGGCAGCCAACACTCACTTTAATCATAAAGAAGCCAAATTTCTTTAAACCTCCGTTACCTTTTAGAAAATTGTGACAGTATTTGGCCTCGGTTGTTGTTTTTCTACTATGAAATTTGGATACAAGATGACAAAGTGCATAGCACTTTTATTTTTAAATAATTTTAAGCCATCCAAAGTCAAGAACTTTGAAATGTTTTCACTATTGTAACATAATAAAACATACAAGCTAACTTCCAGTTTCCTTAAAAGCAGAGAGCTAAGTAAGCATATAAACTCTTAGTGCTCTTCTGTTTTTAAGTGGCTTCATGGAATCTCTTGAATGTACACGTGAAGATTGAAGTTTTTGCTTAACATTCTACCTGACGTTTACACCTGTGTCACTGGAGTGTAGCCTTAGTTGCATAACCTCTAGAGCTTAACCCCCCCTCAATCCTGTGACTGGCAAGAATGCTGCCAATTGAACAATGTCACTGTTCTGAAAAACTGCCAGTTTCATCCATGCAGGGATGCTTTAATTACACTGCACAGCCACGAAACCAGAAGTAGTATTTTTTGATCTGGATGATTGGGACATCAGTGTACATCTCATGACGTTTGATTGTTAAAACCTTTAGCTATTTGAGCCCAGTGAAAGCAGGCTACGTTTGGAATATTTAAATCCAATCAGGTTTGTAACTGGTATTTTCTAATTGGTAAATTTATTCTAACTAAATTGTGTTTCTGGGCAGAGATGGTACGTCTCCATGTCATTCAGTAAGGTGGATCGTCATTGTATAATTGATACTTAATACGTGAACAGTCTCAGCTTCTAGAGAGTACAAATATTGGATTTGAACATTTAGATATATTTTGGGGAAAGTACAGCCTATCCTCAGTCTAGATGTTGAATATCATTATTTATCCATTATTGTTATTGTATCAGAGGTTTTGTAACACTTTCAATTTCAGATTTGATAGCCTAATATAGTTTCTTGAAATGCAGTTACAAGATTAGTTTGTTCCAATTTACAGACAATTGCTTCAGTTTCTGCAACTCTTAATAAAACTGCCATAAATACATTACAGTGATGGTAACTTGTGGGACAAAAGCATGTTTGGGACCCTTAGGGTGTTGAGGTATTATGTTTATGTTGATGTTGGAGAAAGGGATTTGATTGCAAAAATCAAAGATTTGCCCTTGGTTTGCCTTTGTTTACAAACTCTCCTCCACTTTTTACAAGATGGAGGACAGTAAATGGTGATTGAAGGATGAGGTGTGGAAGTGAGCTGCAGGAGCAGGAAAAAAATGTTCCTTCTATAAGAATCTTGCTCTCAAAACATTTTTTGGTTTAAAATTGATGTGGACGCTGTTTAATCTTTGTCATTTGAATTTGAAGTGTAAGCACTAACCATATGTTAATTTGTATTTCTGGGAAGCATTTAAATATAAACCAGGATTGCAAAACATAAAATGTATTTGTAGCTTTATTGAAATAGTTCATCAATGAATGAGGTTTATTTCATTGTAGAATTATATCATTTTTGCTTAGTTTTGCTTTTAATTCATTAGGTAATAGCACGAAGGAGGGAGGATTCTGGGAAGGTAAAAGTGCTGCTCCACTGGACACCAGAAGACATGTAAGTTTTTGAACTTAAAGTGCCACTGTCTTTTTCCAGGTCAAAAGTTGATCAGTTCATGTTCAGATGTGTTAAGGCTCTACCCAGTGTGGCTGTAAAGGTACTACACTAAAGTTAGTTATAAGCATATTTAATTGCTTCAGCAATTGCTTTATACCTGAAGTTGGAGTATGTTTTTCCTTCAAGACTAAGGAAGTAGTTTTGGATGATGAAGCAGTGAATGTCTTGAATGTGCTTGAACCTCTTGTAGGGCTAGCAGAAAAATATCTGTAGTATCGGCCTAGGCTTAACAGTAACACTGGTGCCTGAATCAAAAGATGGAGGGCTTGCATCACACAGGAGCTCTGCAGCAGTGTTAGATGTTGGAAGGTTTTGTATAAATGCATGTTGTTTCCTTTTATGGAACAAAATGTTTTGACAATGAATGATTTGGTTGACCAGTATGCACTAGTTTAAGATACATAATCTAATTCCAGTTCCTCCTGTATTATGCAGATACTGTACTGTTTTCTATTCAAGCAGTGATCAAACATTAATTTATATACACATTGGTTAATCTTTTTGGCTGAGCATTTCACATTCTTCTTTCCTTTGTATAAATTTATAAGTTTGTATAAGGTTGGTCACCACACTTTGGGAAGGAGGATGTATTGACCCTAGGGAATGCAGTATAGGTTTGCCAGTATGGTACCTGGACTCCAGTGGTTAAACTATGTGCTGAGATGTAACAGCATAGAGTTGTATTCCTTGGAATTTAAAAGGCTTAGGGTGACTTGATTTAAGGTTTCAAGGTATTAAGGGGAACAGACTGGGAGATGAGAGGAACAATTTCTGTTAGGAAAACCAAGGACTAGTGAGAAGGGTCATTGTCTAAACATTTGAAACCTTTTGGTGAACTTGGGAAACGGGCGAAGAATGTAGAAGCTTGGCGCTGTCTGCCAATGATGGTTAATGCTCGTTGCATTAATTTTAACTCATTTTTTAAAGTCGATTTTATAGCAAGTTATAGGCAAATGCAGGTATATATGGACTAGTATGTGGATTAGCCTTGATCTCATTGAAATGAATAGGTTTGAGATACTAAATAGCCTATTTGTGTTGCTATGTTGCTAACTGCTTCCATGGATTTATTGCTTGCTCTCTGAAATATTATTTCAGCGTTATAATTTTGGCCAAGACTGTCCGCATTGTTTCTGTTACGCTAAGTATATCACAGCACCTGGACTGTTTGGGGTGGATATTAAAACCTTTCTGGCTGAAACTGTGCACTTTGAAACAAATGAATATATGATCTATAAAGCTGTGTCAATTTCTATCCTTTCCTGTCTCGCCGTTAAATCTGTTTGGGAGCTGAAAACTCATCGTCTGACTTGCTACTTTGCAGTCCTCGTTCCAAGCGCACTTATGCTGCAATGGATGAATTGCCATAACTTAATCTAACTGCACTCTGAAAGACCAGATTTGTTTCATTGCCCAATTATTTTAAGGACTCAGTTTGTTTCTGTCAGACCTCCCAACTGTTAATCCCTGATCTTTGACAACATGTTTTAGATTGTAACAGCTTATCCTGAAGGTATCGATCCCTGATTTCTCTGGCTGAGAAGACTGGCAAACCTTATCTCAGGTTAAGGTTACAACTAGAGCAGGAGTTGGCCTTCCAACCCTTGGACCTGCTCATAATTCAATATCTTGACTGGTATTATGGCTCAACTCCATCTTCCTGCCCTTCCCCTTACATTTGCATACGAATGAAAAGATATCATGCTCTGTCTGGCATCTACTCACTAACTGCATCTACCACTCTTTTGGATTGCCCCTCATTCCAAACCCTATTCCTAGCAATTATTAATTATCTCCTACATACTGACAGTAATTCTTCTGCCAGATACCAAGTGTTTAGACTTGTACAGTTTGCACTGTCATAAAAAATACCCAACTTGTATAATGTAAAAGGTGTTACAAACATAATGAGAGCTTCTAAGAGGAAAAATCATTGACTTCTCCTAGAGATAATTCAGTTGTCCAACATTAGAGTAGAATTGTAAGCATTCCATCAGGGATCTATGAAGGACCTGCTTCCCTACTTCAACCCTCACCTGAGGTATGATGGCCCCCAGGTTAAACTCACGACGACTTGTTTCTCTCTAATGGATGAGTGTCCTTTGGCTGGGACACAATATGACCATATAAAATTTGTAGCACAGAAGCTATTCAACCCATCCTGTCTGAATCAACTGTGAATAGGCTATGCACCATTCTGGTCCCACTTGTGAGCACTTGAAGAAAAGCGCTTATTGCCTTTGTCTATCAGAAAAGAGGTTACTTTTGCCTTGCGCTACCTTTGGTTGATATGAAAGCCTTCCAGTTTTTAAGTTCTGCCAGTCCCTTGAAAAAAATGTAAAACAGTCATCTTGGCTACTAGTTAGCTGAAGTAATTGTGTAAGATAATTGTTTCGTGAAAGTGTATTGGGTGCAGAAATTGATGAATCTTGCTGAGGTGCAATAATTCATTTTTGCTTCTATTACATGGCTATCAATCGTAGATTTTGGTCTTTGAGAATTGTACATCAGTGCTTTTTCCCATCTCCCGTCTTTGAATCAAAAGGCTGAACTTTTGCACTGAACCCCTAATGTTGGAGACAATATTTTGTGCAAAATATTGCAATACCTTGGAGCATACCATTTGGTCCTTAATTTTGTAGGAAGGATAAGTTCGCATTCTCGGAAATTGTTTCCAAATGGAGTAGGGAGACAGCTGCCTGGGTCGAGATACACAAATCTCTAGTGGGAATGTGGGTTAACAAGGCCATTTTTCAAAAAATATTGTTAGAATATCGAGCTTCATTTTTCTAGAGAGAGAGGCTGGCAAATAAAGAAATTGTGTTAAACTTGTATGGAACCTCATTTATTCACTGTTGCAGTATCTTGAATTATTTGGTTTTCATATTATAAGTACTTAAATAGATGCATAAATAGGCTGATCGTTTGCTTCAACTCTTGTTTCCTGCCTATTTCTCATAACTCTTAATTTCCTGAGATCAGAAGCCTGTATCTTCACTGGAAGTCTACTCAATAATAAAAGAGAGTAGAGCAAAAAAGATTTGAGAGAATAATATTAAAACTGCACAGTTCAACCTATTAGGGAAAAATTTATCTGACTAGGGATGTTCCTTTCAGACAATAGAAGACCGAAGAATGACCTGTTAGTTCTTCAAAGTAATGTAAGGGTTAGACAGGTTCACTTCACATTTGCCACTGTGAGTGAGACCTGAACTACGGACCCTATAAGGCAACAACAGTGTAGAGAAACAAGATTAATATTTCAAGTTAGTGACATTTCTTCAACACTGGAAGAAGTAAAAAATCTAATAGGCTTTAAGTACAGAGGAAAGGAAGAGGAGGGGGAAATAAATGACAAAAGAGATGATGGTACAAGGCACTGAAAGTGGAACAAATCCAAAATAACAAAGGATGAGGTTAGATGGGGTATAAATGAGAATAGTAGAATTATCAACAGCTGCTACTCAAAAAACAGTGTGGTGGTAGTGGTGAAGATCTGAAAGTGAATTCATTGTTTAGTCTGGAAGATTGTAATCTATGTTGAAAGACAAGTTGTTGTTCCTTGAGCTTGCATTGCATTCTTTGGATTGATTGCGAAAACCAAGTACTGCAAAGTTGGAATGGGGCAGAGAATTAAATTGATTCAACATCCAGAAGCTCAAGTACCTGTTTTGAGACTTGGGTTTTTCAGAAAGCAGTCACCCAATCTAGTTGAATTATTAAGCAGAAAGCATGGGGCATGAAACAGTGTTACCTGTATTATTCTCTATTAAGGTGAGAACCTCCTGTCAGGTCATTTGAAGTCTTTAGGAGCAGAGCTGGTTGCTACTGATTGACTGACAGGTTCCCTTTCCACATTCAAGGAATTGCTGCAAACAATCATATAGCACTGATCTATCTTCTTAGAGCCCTTCTCCTTATCCAGTCTAGCTGGATACAGATTTATGTGTCTATTCAAACCAGTTCCCTGCTGGAAAATAGTGTGGGTGCTATAAACGAACTTTGAGGCCAATTTGCTTTTTAAAAAAACCTCATGTAATCTTATCGATCATAGTTTCACTGAGGGTGCAAATGGAAATGCTAGTGGTGAGCGCACATGACGTGTTCAACAGTGTGTGGTGTATTGTAGTTTGTGTTGACGTTTTTTTTGTCCATTTGTCTGGGTTCTGAAGATATAAATGCTTGAGTTATGAGCCAGTGAATAGGAGATATCAGCCAGAAGAACGATTGATAAATTGATTGTTCCAATCCAAGCTAACTGTGCCAGCAAAAGCACAACAGTGATAGTGAATGAAGAAAATGAATGCTACAGGCACTAATCCTGTTGTCAAATTCCTGTAGTTGATAAATGAGTAATTGAGATTTTAATGTTTGTCTTAATTTGTTGGACAGTTTTTCATTTAAACTTTGAAGAAAGGGTTTTGTGACTGTTCTACTGTATAATTTTTGAGACCTCAAATTAATCAAAATGCAATTTTGCGGAATTTTAAAATCTGCTGTGACTTCTAATAAAGTAAGAGTGAATCAGTTCTAACCCTAACTGGGTGAAACGTAAATGTTCTTTTTTGAAGTAATGTCTCGATGTTTCCTTTTACAGCCTTCCTGATGTGTGGGTGAATGAAAATGACAGATCTCAACTGAGGACAAAAGCAGTTCATTTGTCTAAACTACCACAAGATGCTGCTTTGCTCCTTGACCCAAACATATACCGGTACAGTTGAGGTTTATCTTATCAACTTAGTTTATATTTAGAGTAGTGCATGTTCTCTCATTTTTTACTTGCATGAGAAAACTACAGCAAGATTCTGGTGATGATTTATGTTTAAGGAAAGCAATTGTTAGTTTCCGTGCACCATACGTGCTGACCTGTTTCTCTGCTGAAGGAGTCATTGACTCAGATAAATGTCCTAGAGTTGCTTTATCAGTGTCATGCTTTCCCCCCGCAACACTTCACCCCCCCCCCCCACCCCCCAACCACCGCCACCACATGTGAATTCTTAATTATGTTTTAATATTAACTGCTTTATCTTGTATCCATTTAGTTAAAATTGTGCCTGGGTTAAATGTTAGAAAGCATTATCCTTTGAGGTGTTTCATTTAATCCATTAAATGCAAACATCACTGAAAATAATGGTGATTTCCTATTTTATGATAGGTAAAGGACAGAAGGGTTGCCTGTTTGATAATGAGGGTTGTTGGCTGAATCTTTATTTAAGTTGCTGCATGTTGAGGCATTGCCCTTTTGTCAAATTGGCATTGTTGTGGTTTAAATTTTTCTTAATATTGGAAGGTAACTATTTGCGTTGAAGTATTTTTGTTTGGTTAGGAGTCCAGGTATGGAAAGTTGCTATGAATTCTGAAATGTGAATTCTGTAGTGAAAGGGACTTCAACTTCAGTCCTAACGGAAATCAACTGGTGCCCCATCATCCAGGAAAAGCAGACCCCAAAGAAATCATGCTCTGAGACTTTTTCTTCTCCTTTTTCACATTGTTACTTTACAATATCCAAGTTGCTTTTACTTGCTACAATATTCGGCCACACTCAAACACCCTCAATCACCCTGATCACATCTTGATCCACTGTTTTGCAGTTCCTGAGTGCAGTGCTCACTCGCGCTTTCCCACTAGGTCACTTCAGCAAACACTGTTCTTCTCCCTTGAAATAGCCATCATAGCACCCTGCACTCTGATCCTGTTTCAGCTTAATTTCTGCATCCTCATTGGCATTGCATCTGCCTAAGCCTGTTCCCAGTGTCACCATCAGCTATCATTTCATTTCCAAATTAGCAAATCAGTGATGATTGCAATTTTTTGCCACCTACGAACAATCAAACTATCACTTTTTGAAAAGGTCTTTTGGCTGGCTGAAATTAAATTTAAGTTGATTTTAGTCCAGTTTTGTTTTTGGTTGAGAAAATGGCACCTACTTGAGTATATTTTAAGTTGACATTCTGTGGCAGGATTTTCTTTTTTTCTTCCAGCTTGCATTTTCCTTCTAGTTATTGGTTAGCTATAGATTTTGGAGATTTTGTTTATAAATCTGCAATTAAGTAACTGCTTGATCACAGTTTTGTTTTTGAAACACTGGTATGTGAAATTTGTCTGAACGTTGGTTCGGATGGTGGGCATGCACTAGGGCATGTTGAATTGCGTTTAGAATAGGAAAGAGCTGCTTGTGTAATGATGTGACTTTAAGTTTCTTGATCTTATTGTACTTGTGTTTTAAAGCCATCCTCATGCACTTTGCTGAAGGAAGAATTGATAATGTAGGAAAGTGTTTTTCTTGTTCAAGGCACTTGGTACAAAATGCCACTTAACCAGGTACCACGTAGAAATATAGAAGCCCTACAGTGTGGAAGCAGGCCATTTGGCCTGTCGAGTCTACACTACCCTCCGAAGAGCATTTACCCACCACCATATAATCCTGCATTTTCCATGGCTAATCCACCCCGCCTGCACGTCCCTGGACTTTGTGGGTAATTTAGTATGGTCAATCCACCTAATCAACACATCTTTGACTGTGGGAGGAAAGTGGAGCACTCGGAGGAGACCCACACAGTCACAGGGAGGATGTGCAAACTTCACAAAGACAGTCGCCTGAGGTGGAATTGAGCACGGGTCCCTGGCGCTGTGAGGCAGCGTTTTTCTCAGTCTTGCATTATGTTTGTATGCTATTTTAGTTCCAACTTCAAGAAGTGCCCACAACTATTTTTTGACTTATTAGCTTTCTTCCTTTGGATCTTGATTTTGACATTTGAAAGTAGATTTTTGTCCTCTGTAAAAAGGATTAAGACTTGCTTGAGGCCATCAGTTATACCAAGCAAAAGCCATCGCAGAGTGAAGCTTTTATCACAATTACTTCTGTGCAGATTTAAGTGCAGAATCTATTGTGAAACACCATTAATATACCTATGGCTCTATATCGTTCTGTCCTTGTATAGTTGAAAGAAAAATATTGGCAATAACTAAGTACAGCTGGGATGGAAACTGAGGGAGGATGCTCACGTGAACTTGCGTCCTTGGCACCTTTCAGCTTTTTTTCACAGCAAAAATTGCTCGTCAGTGTAAGTGGTCACAGTTTTGAAAGCTACTTTCAAATGGTTGGAGTATCATCAGTAACATTTAATATGGAGAGCATCAACATTACAAAATCTTAAATTGTTACAGATGAGCTTTCCATTCCACTCATTGCTACAAGTATGTGACTTTCTGTAGCGAAGCTACTGGGGTCATGATCTAAGCATCTGATGGATTTTGGTTAAAGCTTGTTTTCTCAATACTGTGGTGCCAGAATCCTCCGGTATAATGACTTCTTGTTGTGAACTTCCAAAAACCCATCTTTTGCCTTAAGATATTCTCATTAATCATTGAGCGAAAGCTAGAAGTAATGTAAACTTAGTGAAGTACAGCTGGAACTGAGGAAAAGATATTTTCTTTTTCTTGGACACAATTTCCATTTGAGTGTGTTTTTGAGACAGCATATTGATGTGCTGATCCTTGGTGTCACAAAGAATGCAGTTCAACCACACTGTCGGGAGTCACCAAGCAGAAGGCTAATCTTGAAATTTTAATGCATCATACTCACCGGCTGCACAGATTGACTTTTTGGAGTGCAAATTGCTGCTTAATCTAGGAGTGTCTTTAATAGGTTCCAGGCTATGAATTGTTTGGTTCAACATAAGATTGTAACTTGTAAGAATTAAAGTAGGTAACTCAGTCCATCTAGCCTGCTAAGCCATTGGTGAGATTGTGGCTGATCTGATCATCCTCATCTGATAATTGCTCTGCTTTTTTTTAAAGAGTCTTTGATTCCTTAGCTGATTAAAATCTGTCTGTCTCAGCCTTGAATGTACTTAATGATCCAGCCTTGACAGTCCTCTGTGGTAAAGAATTCCGCAGATTTAATATCCCCTCTGAACAAATTTCTCTTCTTCACTGAAATATGAGACTTTGAAATAAAGGACAGCATTCCATTTGCTTTCCCTGTTACGTGGGAATATCACTGAACTTGGATGCTAGATTTATGACTCAGGGACGAAGATTTCCAAATCGCTCTTCTATAACTTTCTGCAGTCTCCCTCCATTTAAGTAATATTCAGCTGCTGTATTCTTCCTGCCAAAGTGCATAATCTCTCCCCATGTTGTAAATTTTCCCACGTTGTATTCCATCTGTTGAGTGTTTTGCCTGCTTACTTAATCTGTGTATATGCCTCTGCCAAGTGTCATCCTCACCACTTGCCTTCCCACTTATTGTCGTCCACAAACTTGTCTATAGTGCATTCACTTTCCTCATCTAAATCACTCATGTATAGTGTAAACAACTGCAGCCCCAGTTATTGATCATTGTGCCGTGCCATAAGTTAGAAGTTGCCAGCCTGAAAATTACCCCTTATCCCAATTCTGTTAGCCAATACTCTCTCCATGCAAATACGCTACCTCCAACACCATTGGTTCTTATCTTAAATAGCCCAACGTATGTTACCTTATTAAACGTCTTCTGAAAATCCAAATGTATTGCATTCATTGCTGTCCCATTCCCTATCCTGTTTGATACCTCCTGTAAAGAATTGTAGTAAATTTCAGGCATAGTTTTCCCTTCATAAATCCATGCTGACTCTGCTTAATCATATTTTCTGTTACGTCTAAATGTTCTGCTATTACATCTTTTATTATAGACTAACATATTCCTAGTAACAGCTGTTAAGCTAACTTGCCTATAGATACTTGGTATTTTTTGTCTCCTTCCCTTTTCAAATAAAGGTGTTGCATTGGCAGTTTTCCAATTCTCTGGCAATTCTCCAAACTATAAATATTCTTGGAAGATTACTACCAATGCATCTGCTATCTCTGTATGCTATCATTTTCATGGTCCTATTGTAAAGAAGACAATGGGCTAATTATGCTTTATTTGTACAGGCAACAAAAAGACATGCTATGATGAATCTTGTGTGGTTTTGCAATGGCTTAGCATTTCGGAGTAAAGGGACTGAGTGAGAAATGGATCATCATGTAAGAGACTAGCAGCCAGGCAACATTTGGTCTGATACTGAAGGCTGAGTTGTAGATGGATGAGTCCGTAATTATTGTGCAAGTTGTTGGATAGCAGGTGAAAAGAATAGTTAAAATGCTGGCATAATTTACTGCCTGCAAGAGGTAAATGAGCATATTTTAGGATTGCCAGTGTGTTTCCTTTGTAGCTGACTTTTGGCGTGAATACTGCTTTGGAAGGAGCCCAAAGATAGAACTAGAGATTGAGACTGTATGACAAAACCTCAATTCATGAGTGTCAGTGGGTTGCAAAGTGTTAGTATTGATGACATGTCCTGCTTATCAGGGGAATGGTTATGACTGTAATCTGTTCATCAATCTTACACAGTCTAAAGTGAGCAGCAGTACTTGTGTACCAGCAAATAAGGAAAGAGAAAAGAAAGTAGGAAAAATCAGATGCAGACTGTAACAAAACTGAAAATATGGCTTCTGGCAGAGGAGCAGATTAGACTGATTGTGCATTGCTAACCTGTCTTGATCGAGTGGTTTCCTGTGAAACCAAATCCCTCACCAAGCCTGTAGACATGACAAAGTAAACAATCAATTACACACTGTTCTTTTGAATACTTGACCTGATCCAAAGTGGTCTGTATTTCATTTTGGCAATGTTTAGTTTTATTGTTCTAATTTATTAGAAAAATGTATGTTCTGCCAGATCAATACTGGTATCTAAGGTTTTTGGAGTAGATTTGTAGCTCGGGTTGTGGGTGTTGAGGTTGGTTGGTTCACCGAACTGGTTTGTTGTTCCGCAGACATTTCATTACCCTGCTGGATAACATCATCAGTGCAACCTCCAATGAAGCTTCATCAGTGCAGCCTCCGATAATGTTACCCAGCAGGGTAATGAAACGTCTGCGGAACAGCAAATCAACTCAGCGAGCCAACCTACCTCAATCAGTACTGGTAATTTTGAAACACCACAGTTCATGCATTATTTGGTGTTAGCCTTGGTCTTCCTAGTCAAACTAAACTGCTAGATAATGTGATGAACGGTCTGTGCCTGCTATCTGTAATCTGGGACTTTTGTTCTGGGGAACACAAACAGTGGTGATTACTGGGCTAATGATCCAGAGACTGAAGTTCAAACCCTGCTACGGCTGCTGAGAAATTTAAATTCGGTACAATAAACCTGCACAAAAAAACAATATCGGTATTTTGAGATAACAAGGTGTAGAGCTGGATGAACACAGCAGGCCAAGCAGCATCAGAGGAGCAAGAAGGCTGACGTTTCAGGCCTAGACCCTTCTTCAGAAGTACCAACATCGGTATTTTGATCGTAAAACTGCTGGATTGCTATTAAAGTTCGGGTTTACTGATATCCTTCAGGGAAGGCAATCTTTTCTTACCTGAGCTAACCTCCATGTGATCCCAGAGCAGTACAATGTGATGCCTTGTCACTACCCTCTGCAATTGTCTAACATAGTGCTTCCCAGACTTTCTCACTATAACCCCATAATGGTATGTGTGAAAATTGTTGAGATTCCCAATGAGAATTGAGCAAGAAGAGTAGGATGCTGTTAAATCAAGAGCACAGCTGTTAAATCAAGAGCACAGCTATTAAATCTTATTCAGCATTCCCTCACTGTTTCTCAACTTGGGACCCCATAATCTTAGCTTACATCTCCATTGGGGACCCAATGCCAATTTGGGAAGCTCTGGTCTTGCAAATCATTAGATTATATTCACTGTGGCAGGCCACCATATCTATTTAGAGGGCAGTAGAGTGGGCAATAAAGGCTGAGCTTGCCAGTGTCACCACCTTTCCCTGAGTCAAAAAAAAGTGAATTTAAATATTGGTGTCAAAGCAATCTTTGGAAAACAGAATCTTAACATAGTAAATAGATATAAATTGACATTGTAAAGAGATATGAATGTTCCAAATAATCTCTCAATTCTTGCAAGATAGTAGATAAAGAATGTTGCTAGAGATGGCTGCAGTTTTTCTACTTTACTGAATTACGATTGGGACAAAGCAGTTTATATTTTGAAAGTTTTATGATGTTCAGCCATTATGCGTAGCTGCAAAAAGAATAAAGCTTTGAATGTCATTTCCTGTTCTGCACATTACATGATGTTTCAGGTGCAGTTGAATAGCCTTTTTTTTTTGAGGCTGTATATGTCAATACAAAGTGAACCTACCTGTGTAATTAAAATCTAATTATCTACACATTTTTAAAAAATAAAATATGCTAGTTTTCTACAAGGCCTTCCTTCCTGGCAGTATGTTCCTTGTTCCACCCTTTTGTACCAGCGTTTCAATTATAGCTGATGTCAGTAAGCTTTTACTTGCAATATACCAGTGGTGGTTTTGCAGATCTCCATTCCTCAGTTTGTATTAAAGCTAGATAGTGATAATAGATTTGTTAAATGAAGAGAGATTGGATTGGCTGGACCTGTAATTTCTGCAGTTTAGAAGGATGAGCGAGTTCTCATTGAAACACACCATTCCAACTGGATACAGGAATGATACTCCCCCTAACCTTATAAATCCAGAGCAAGAGGTTAACAGTCTCCGGATGCGCAGTAGACTATTTTGGACTGAGATGAGTTGAGAACAGTTGTGAATCTGTTGAATTCTCTAACAAAGAAGGCTATGGGGCTAAGTTTTCAAGAATGATATGTAGATTTCTAGAAGTTAAAGTTACCAAGGCGTATGGGGAGGAACTAGGAGTAGGGCATTGAGATAAGGGATGAGCCTGATTTATTGAATGGCACTGTGGGCTCAATAAGTGACTTGCTTATGCAACCCAGAAGCCATTAAAATGTGTTCTGACTTGCGTACAAAATGTAGGACCGTCTAAACCATCTTTTCATAATTACAGCAAATGTTTGTGTCGAGCCTTTAGAGTTACACCCCTGTATTGGATCACTTAGTTATGAGGGTTCATAAGCTGGACTTTCGTAATAAATTCAGGACCGCCTGTACCTTTGACTCAATTTCCGATGTTTGTAAACAGTAGTTTCTAAATTCCAACTGTCTAGGTTCCCAAACTTGCTGTGAGCCATGCTAGCTAGCTAATATTAAAGTATTTATAAAACTGTCTGTAATCTGAAACTGGAAACATTATCTATTTTGTGTACCTATGTGTATCTTTTTAAAGCATGTCATTGTCTCTGCATGTCATGTCTAAATTTCCCATGTCTACATTTAACTTTTGACACTGAATGGAATACTGAGGGAGATGAGCTAACATTTAAAATATAATTCATTACTAATGAGCCAGAGAAGTATTGTTTTCCTGCAGATAGGATTTCTGTTAACCATTCCATAATGCTGCAACTCTAGAAAGTTGAACAGTTATGAAGATTACAATTTGTCCATTTGCACTGAACTACAAAAACAGCCTTAGTTTAAATTGTAAGTGCTTGATGTGCATCCCATTCTCTTCTCACATTTTATCATATTCATTCTAATATTTTACTGTTTCTTTACCCACCTGCTTTCCTGCTTAAGCTGTCTGCAAAGGTTGGTGTTCTCAAATGGTAAAATTTATATTGTTACATACATGACATGATCAGTCCAAATGTTGTGGAGAATCCTGCAAAACATGAGTCCAATGATGACAGCAACGGACAACTTATCTCCAGAATAAAGCGTTGATTTGTTATTGTATGCAGTGAAGGTCCCCATAATGCACTACGTTAATCCCTTTAGACCTGCAGGAAAGTGTTCCACTATTTCATACTTGAGCCTTGTGATGGGCAGGGAGATTTTGTATTCCATATTGAAATTTCTGGGCCTTAAAATTCCCTCCTTTTGGTAGTGGAATTTAGGTGTTGCACTTAAAATACTATGTTTCCATGCTTAATGGAAAATATGAGATATCTCAGATTCTCCAGCATCTGCAGTTCCTACTATCTCTTAATGGAAAATGTTTGTTTTCATCAAGCTTTATACCAGCTTATTGTTGTTGAGTAAACTGAAAATGTAGTTAGGTGATTTGTACATATTGCCATCTTTCAGTTTGAGCCAGTTTTTTTCATCTGATAAAAGTAGGAATAAGATCTTTACTACACATAGTCCAATTTTGTGCTGCAGCCATGTACTGTACTTCTGAATAATTCAGCTTTGAGCTGTTTTTACTTGTACTGACAGGCCGACTGGCTCCTTACAACATTATGAACATGGCTCCATGGTTGACACATGACAACTAAACTTCACTTAAGTCTAGAAGAAGCAGCACAGGTAGGGCTAAAAATAAAACTCGATCTACATTTTACGGATATTGTTGCAAGTGTACTTTGAAGGCAGGTCACATTTTTACACACAGGGATTTTGTTCTTGAACCTTTTAAAGACTGTGACTTAGTCCAATTCACCCAATGCATCTCTGTAAACAACAACATCCTCATCTTCAATAAATTTGTGATAAACATCTCTCTCACTTCCATTTTTCACTTACCTGATCCATCATGACTAAATCAATACAATCTGTAAATTTGTCAATTACTGGATTCTAAATAGCACCTAAATATAGGGAAATAACAGTACACTAATGTTCCAAGTTTAATTTTTAAAATGTATTTAAAGACAATGCTGAAGTGCTATAGGGCCACGCAACAACAATGAAGTTTGGTTGGTATTTCCAAACTGTAGATTTTATTTATGGTTTCACATTATCAAAATAAATACATAGCCATAAAATTTATGAAACAACCCATCTGGTAAGTATGCAGTTAATTTTTAAAATGTACTGCTAAGTACTATACACAAGCAATTTGTGGCTTATAGTGGAGGCTAAAGGAAGAAAATGTTGAAAGAGTGGAAACAAATGCCAGGGTGAATTTCAAAACTGTTAAGCCTTAAAAACTCTTAATCTAGCAGTGAGGATCTTACAATTTGGTTTTTAGTTCGTTGCATTTCTTCTGTTTAATTAATGAAACAAGAGCATTGTTATTTTTTAATTATGTGAGGAAAAGCATTATTTTTATTATGCTATCCTCCTCCATCACATTGTGTATACAATGGTCTGGTGTCTGCACTACATTGTTTTTCTCCCTTTGACAGAGAGTATACTAACTTGTTAGAAAATCCAGAAAAATATGTGCCATTAAGGAAGGAATCTTGATTTTTGTTAATTCTCTTCTCCCACCTTTCCTGACTTTCATAGTATGGCTTTGATTTTGCAATCATTAGGTTCACTATCCTGGGTCCAGCTCCTCCTTTTGAGGTACAGATCTGCATTGCATTGTTGTCACTGAGTGTATGTAGAGAAGGGGATGTTTTGCTTTTTCTTCATAAAACCCTGGTTGGAATGCATTAGAAGTAGTATGCACAATTTTGGGTACCATGTCCTGGGTGCATATGTTTGCCTTAGAAGTTCAGTACATATTCACTAGATTGCCAAGTTTCAAGCATTATTATGAAGAGAAATTACTTGAACAGGATTTTTTTTAGCATTCACCAAAATATACAAAATTAAGTGCTAATTATGGGGAGGCATTTAAGAATGTCACACAAGCTTATTAAGGTGGAAACTTGTGGGATTAGAAGGAAAATGTATAGATGTAAAATCAACCTGGGAGCACTCTGCAACATATGGTCATGTATGATTTTTCAGAACACAATGTAATATACAGTGGTGACTCTCAAGCCATTTTCAAGTCCATAATTAAATATTATAAATTACCTTAAATTGGATGCAGGGAACAGCATTATAAAATTTTAGATTACAACTTCACAACGCTTTCAGTAGAGTGTGATGAGATTAGGTGTAGGCTTCAGGTTGGAGGACTGGGCAGACAGATGGCAGTTGGAGTTCAATGTGCGATTTGTAAAGCATTGCTGTTCAATGCGGCTGGTGTGGAAAGAAAGAATATTATGAATGATTCATTTTCAAAAGTGTAGATGAATAGAATTCTCTAAAAGTGGTCAAATATGTTAGTTAGGTGATCTTTAAAAAAGCATATATTTATAAATGGAACAGAACAAACAAAAGAGCTCTTAGAATTTTATTGGCCTCTGGTTAGGCCTCAATAGGAGTACTGTGGACAATTCTGGGCACTAGATTTGAGGAAAGATGCAGATGCCTTAAGAGTATGTAGGTTCATCAGAATGTCACCAGAGATTAGAGTCTTCAGTTCTGATTAAAAAGTTGGATTGTTCTTGGAACAGGCAAAGTCAGGAGGAGTCCTAGATCTTGTAAGAAATTTCAAGATGATAGAGTTTGGTAGCATGGATAGAACATAAATATTCTGTCTGGGAAATGGATGGACATAGTTTCAGAATCATTGGTAAAAGATCAAGAAATGAATTGAGACTATTTTTTCCCTCCCATTGATTTGTTGGAATCTGGAACATCTACCTGAGAATGTTTGAAGCTGATTTTATAGGATGCTTGAGAATGAGCAGGTACAGAATTGCAGGAAAAAAAGTTGGATGTGACCCTGAGTATGACTGCTCTTTCCAAGAGTCGGCACAGGCACACAGCCTAAATAGGTTTCTGTGATTTGATTGAGATTTTAAGGTTTTGAAAGAAATTGATAGGGTAGAAGGAGAGGATTTTTTTCCACTGGTGGATATATCTAGAACAAGAGCACAGCCCTAATAAGAGCCAAGCCACTTAGGAGAGAAGTCAGGAAATGTATGACCTAAAGACTGGTGGACATTTGGAACACACTTGTAGCTGTGAACTTGATTAATCGTTTTAAATCTGAATTTTTTTTTTTGGAATAAAGGTAGAAAAGATGAAGCGAAGCAAGGTGGGTAAATGAGAATGGCAGATCATCTGCGATCTGATTGAATAGTGAAATGGCCTATACCTATTCCATGTTCTTCGCAGTAAATCTCATCCTCTGAGCTGTTGGCAAGTGTGGCAGAGTGGCTTGGATAAAAGTAAAATGCAGTCAAGGGAACATGAATCTTTTGCTTTATATTTGCAAAATATTTGGATATCAAGCCATCTTAATCGTCAGCAACGAATTCTAATACCTTAAAGGAATCTTTAAAGATAGCATTAAAAACAGTACTGTGGATGCTCAAGATCTGAACTTAAATTAAAAAATGCTCTGGAAACTCAGCAGGCCTGGCAGCATCTGTGAAGAGACAGAGTCAACATTTCAATTCCGATTTGAAGAACCATATTGGACATTTCATGTTAACTCTGTTTCACTCCCCACAGATGCTGTCACACTTGCTAAGTTTCTTCAGCACTCTGCTTTTAACTTGAAGGTAGTAACTTGCCAGGAACGGGGAGGTATTGACCTAGTGGTATTATCACTGGACTGTTAGCCCAGAGACCCAGGTAATGTTCTGAGGACACGTTTTCGAAACCCACCATGGCAGATGGTGGAATTTGAATAAAAATCTCGAATTAAGAGTCTGATGATGACCATGAGTCCATTGCAAATTGTCAGAAAAACCCATCTGGTTCACTTATGTTGTTGAGAGAAGGAAATCTGCCATCCTCACCTGGTTTGGCCTACATGTGACTCCAGACCCAGAGCAATGTGGTGTACTCTTAATTGCACTCTGGCAACTAAGGATGGGCAATAAATGCTGGCCTAGCCAGTGATGCCCTAAATCTGTGAATGAATAAAAAAAAAAATCTCTTGGCTTTTAATCTCAGGAATGCCCATTTCCAGCTTGAACCTGTTTACATTTCATTGATTGGGGTTATTGGTAAACTGTATGTTCTGGCCTGATATTTCTGCCTCCTATTATTTAAAATTTGTGAATTGAAAGCAACTCAAAGTTGTTTCATATTCTCATCAAATCTCTGTTCCTCTGGTTTTGTCCAAAAGACCAGTATAATTTTCCATTTGTGTTATTAGTGCACTTGCAATTCAAGTTGCATCTGGATGGTAAAACTGACACAAATTTGATGGTCAGACCTCAGTGTAATTCGAGTAATTCTGAAGCACCATCTGCATTGAAAGTGGAATGTCATGGTCCCTATTTCTCACCTCTTAAATTAATGGAGGTAGTTATGTATGTTTGTTAATGCTCAGAATCAAGAATTGCAAGTACTCCTTGCCATGGGTTGGGGAAATGCTGAATCCTTATTCAGGGTCAGTTAATTCTTGTAATACTTTATCCTTGGCTCTCTCAATGTGATGTATTTATTTTAAGTAATTACTTGATCACCCACCTGAGCACTTGGATTTGACTGAGAAAAGTCGCAAATACCTCTCCAATATGCATCATGTTTTTAAGCAATAACTGAAGCAATTTTGTACCCAGATTGAATGATGAATTGAAAACATCATCTGGATACTACTGTAAAACATTTTTTCAGTGTTAGCATCATAGCTACAGGACAAAAACATCAAGCCCTTAGAGCTGTGCTTTAATTGTCATGACCTCTTGCTAGAAACTAAATCCCTGTTCAAAAGTCGGAATACCCACTCTCTCTTACAATCTCAAAATCAAATTAAAGTACTATACAAAGTGCTACCTTGCAAATGGGAAACATCCATCAGACTGATTCTACTCCTGTCCTAACTAATGCAGTACAACAAGACAGCCCTAAATAATTTGCCTGAGTCTTCTATCTATCTGATAACTTGCATTGGAACTTTGGACTGTTGTGTTCGTGGCCAAGTGGGCATTCTTTATAGATTCATTAAAGTCCTGTGGAAGGTGCATCAATTGTGGATGTTGTGGACAGTCACCATAGTCAATTAGATTTAGAATAGTTATGGAAAAGGATAATGATGAGTCAGGAATAAAAATTCTAAACTGAGGAGAGGCTGTTTCTGCTAAGATGAGATGAAATTTGACTCGTGGCCTGGGCGCAGCTACTTGCAGATAAAACTCTATCAAAGTAACGACAAACATTCAAGGAGGAAAGAGCGAGAGTATAGGGCAAATACTTTCCCACAGAGTGAAAGGATGGGACCAAGACCAAAGAATCAAAAATGTCAAAGGGCATAAAGGTTAAGATCAAGAAAAAAGAGACATCAGGGTGAGGGCTCAATACAGCAGAGTCTCTAGACTATTAAAAGTGCATGAGATTCACTAAAAATGAAATTAAGAAAACTTGGAGTGCATGTGAGAATGAATTGGTGGGTAAAATAAAGGAAAACTTAGGTTTTTGAAATGTATAAAAAAACAAGAGAATAACACTGGGATCATCGAGGTAATTTGCATGTGAGCTGGAAGATGTGGGCACTATCCTCAATGAATAATTTGCATTGGCCTTCACAATGAAAAAGGACCATGCAGGTATGGAATCGGGGTGGAGCACTGAA